ATTTCAATGAAAGCAAAAGGACCCACAAGGAAGATATGGAGAGATAGTATCGAAGAAACAAAACCCACTTCCTTTGTTTTGTATTTATATAACAACAGCATCTTCACTGTTTCAATACAGTGTGCAGATTTTTCTTGACGGCCATCCCTTTTTTTGTTTCTTAATATATGTATCTATATACATATATATTCTGTTGTTGCAGTGACATAATTGAAGGGTATAAGGAAGAGATGAAAAAGCTAGCAGGGAGATTGACGTGGTTGATGCTGGGCTCCTTGGGGATAACCAAAGAAGACATCACATGGGCTGGCCCAAGAGCCGATTTAGAAGAAACTTCTGCGGCTCTGCAACTCAACAATTACCCAGCTTGTCCTGACCCGGACCGAGCCATGGGTCTAGCCGCTCACACTGACTCAACCCTGCTCACCATTCTCTACCAGAACAACATCAGCGGACTCCAGGTGCTGAAACAAGGAAAAGGGTGGGTGAAAGTGGAACCAGAGCCGAATGGACTCGTGATCAACATCGGAGATCTTCTCCACATTCTTTCAAACGGGCAGTACCCGAGTGTGATCCACCGGGCCATGGTGAACCGGACTCGACCCAGACTCTCTTTTGCTTATCTGTACGGACCACCGACGAACACTGAGATATCGCCGCTGGAGAAACTGTTGGGTCCTAACCAGCCAGCTCTTTACCGGCCGATTACATGGAGTAAATACTTGAGGATCAAAGGAAAGATTTTCAACAATGCACTCTCGTGGATCAGGGTTGATGGGTCGGTCAAAGTCAATGAAGAAGACAACAGCGTACTAGTAGGATAAGTAGATAAAATTAAATAATAATTTTTCTTTTTTGTGCGCACGTAGATTTTGATTGGTCTTAGCTTCCATGTTGTGGGGACAAATATACACAGTACATATTTGATTTTTATATCGATTTATTGTTTTTTTTTTTTTTTTTGAAGTCAGGGAGAAGGGAAGGAAAGGTGGTAGTCTAATTAGTTCCGAGGAAAAAGGCAGACATATATATATATATATTATATTATATTATATATATAGGATAAGTTATAACATGATTTATGTGAATAAAAGCAATTGAAGACAAAAGGGTGTGTGTTGGTTATCTTGTCTTGGTGCTGTAAGAGACAGAAAAATAGCCACTTGAATATTCAAGTAAAGGACACAAAAACCGACATCTTTCTGCCCGGATATGAAGGAAGATCCTTCTTGCAATGAATTAGACATTGATTAGGTTAAATCATTAGACGAAGCTAACTACAATTAATATACATGTACGTACATACATACATACATACATACACACATACACACACACACACACATATATATATATATATATAACGTACACTGTTAAATAATAGATTTTAAACACACACGCACGTTCAGCTTCAACCAATTATTTCTTTACAAATGATAAGATAAACACGAGTATCGATAACGCTTGCATTGGACAAATCAAAGAATGTGACGCCATGCTTGTCTAAAATATTAGAGGTGTAAAATTGGTTTACACTATTTGTAAATCAAATCACTAAATTTAATTTCTGAAATTCAAATCAAATTTAATTATTTTAGTACGGAAACCAAACCAAACCAAACCAAAGTGTACTACAATAATTTAGTTTGGTATGTATGATTTAGATTTTTGTTTTGATTTAAATTTTTTTCAAACTTAAAGCAAATCAAATTTTGGAGCATTAAAAACCAAACAATTTAAGTGAAACTTTTAATTTTTAGCTTTGTA